TCACACACATGAAATTATACGTATATACATACTTCATCACAATATAGATCTCTTAATTAGAGTCCATGTTGGCTTTGATACCACATGTAAGAAATTTATAATACAAATAAACATATGGATCTAATGCATAAATTTAATAAGAAGACATATCAGATACAAAAATTCAGTTTGGAGAGAAATACAGTGGAAACGATCTTCAATCCTCTCCTATGTTTGCAAAACTGGATGATGGACTCTAGGGCCTTTTACATATATATATATAGTGAGGGTTATGACCGTTTCATTCATACGTGAAGAGATGTGTTGGTTCCATCAACCAACATAACTCTTTTTAGGTGACTATTTATTCTAAGAGTGTAACATCTTTTATATATATATATATATAAATAATATATTTAATTAATTATTGATAGACTACTAAATTACTTACATGGAGTCAATAAAAAATAAAAACTATTAAGCGAGTGCACGTAGTTAAATTGAAGTAGCAAAAATGCTTCATCATTTGAAATGGTAATGGTTTCCCAAAATAGTTGGGCGAAAAAAATAATACTAATAAGGAAATGAAGGCTGAAAGAGGCTTAGGAGGGAGGTAAAAAACAGGAAAGAAATTCTCAAAATAACAACAGTTGAGAAATCGTTTTCTTTCGTTTATATATATATATATATATACACTTTTATGACTGCTTGTGGTGACATTGGATGAAATAATGATAAATTTAGATATAATAAGATATATATTTTATAATAAAAGAAGTGAAAGAATATACTAAGTAATTCTTACTCTTCACAAAGAGGAGGACAATGATAATAATATGAATTTAAAAAAAAAAATCACAGAACACAAGCAATCTTCCCATCCATCAATTTTTAGTTAATCATAAAGCTATTTGTTAGACAAGCAATTTTATTTATTTCAATAATCCTGATTACTGTACTGAGGTGGTTGGGTAGATTAAAAATTTTGGTCAACAACAAATGATGAAGTTTAAAATATACTTTATATATATATATATATAAACACTACCTACCCAGACCCAGTACCCACCCACCAATGGAACTCTCTAAAATATGAATAATATCTTCCAATACCTAGTGGCTAGAGCTTTTGATTTTTTACAGAGCCAAGTGGTCAGTTTGTTGACTACGTCTGCAAGACATTTTCTATGAAACCAAATACAAAACAATGGAAGTAGTCCAAGTTCAATTGATTGTTTGCTAAAGCAATTAACGAAATAATTCTAAGGAAAATTAAAATATTATTATTGAATGAATGAATAATTTGCTCCCAGTACAAGTACATATCTAGTAAAATTAATAATCCTAAAGAGAGTCAAAATTGGCACTGCCTCTAAAAAAAAAAAAAAAACACAAAGACCTAAGTATTTCATGAGTGAAGTTGGTGAGTATTGAAAATAGACATAAGTGAATCAAATTTTGCTCATCGAAACTGCTAAAAACACGTGTCATTCTCTTCATCTAGGGTTGCAACAATTCAAATGGTCCACGTTTACATCATTCACCTTCTCCACCGTCTCACCCAACTTCACCTGTTTCTGGGTGTTTAGGCATTAGTGGTTATTAGTGTCTTTGACCTAAAGCAAACTCAGTCATTTTCATCATACATCCCAAGTGTTCCTAGTTTTCTTTCTTTAGGGTAGGTTTTGGCTCACGACCTATTTTATTATTTATTTGCGTCAATGGTCCTTTTTAGGGGTGTACAAAAATATGATGAAACTAAAAATTCAAAATGAGATCAGGCAATTTGGTTCGGTTTATTAATAGTTTAATTCAGTCATGGTTCTTAATTTGTAAAATCGTAAAAATTAGGTTTGGTCTCGATTTGATGTACTTAAATACTAAATCGAACTAAACCAAACTGTTAAGTTATATATATATATATATATATTAAATTATACATATAATATAATATAATTCTATAGTGACGGGTTGTTGTAGGTTTTCTGAATTGTGGTGTTTTTTTTTTTAATTAGTAATTCCTAATATATTAGGCTATTAGCCGTTGTGAACGTATTCACTAATTCATTTCAGTTTCAAAAGTGATAGAGAATAATGAATATATTAGTAATTTTGAAAGTATTAACTTATGTTCTACAAGTGAATGTATTAACAGTTCTGAGTGTGTTGATTAACTTGGTTTATTGTTGTGTATTCAGATTGTGTGTTGGTTAACTTGGTTTATTGTTGTGTATTTAGATATAACCGAATCGTACTGAATCGGTGTTTCACGGTTTGGTTTGGTCCGCTTCCTTTCCTCAAATAGTTCGGTTTGGTTCTAGATTTTCTGAAATCCCTAGGAATGGTTTGGTTTCAAAAAAATCTCAAGCCGGTCCAAACCGAACCACGTGCACCCCTAATCCTTCTTGTTCACACTCTTAAGTATTAGCTTGAACCAAAATAACATTTACTAAATATAACAACTCTTGAAAAATATTGAATTGGTGATTTGAATTTAAAATTGGAATAGATCTAATTCGTTATTTTCAAATATAGTATTAATGATTTCTCATGCAATAATGGCGACCTAAATCACATATATAATTCTTTTAAACAGTTGTCACTTCATGCACATTAACATTCAAGGCACACGTTTATTCCCGATCTCATAATGTGCGACTTAAATTTTGCGATTTTTGAGCTCACTCTCATATTCGCTCTTGCTTTTGCACCGCTCTGTGTGACTTAGGTGGGACACCAAATTTCCACACCGGCCAGACAGTAAAGAAAGGAAAAGAAATTTTTTTTAGTTCTGTAAGAAAAAAAAAATTTTGATTTTGACTTGGTTATGTGAAGGAAAAAAACGATATTGAAAAACTTCCTTTGTTTGTGAAATAAAAATCAAGGTGATGTCCAAAAGTGGTTGATTAGGATTTGAATAACAAGAAAGTTTATGTCCTCCGTCTTACTTTTTATTTTTTTATTTTTGTGACAATAAAAAAATAGTCATACGGTATTTACAAAGAGCGTCATAAATGACCGTATAAAGACAAACAAATTATGAAGTAATATAGGAAAATTTGAAGAACGGACTCCAGATTTACTGAAAAACAACGCAACAGCAGAAACCACCAAGGAAGTAAAGTAGCAACGAGAGTGACCCATAGGTCAGACTATCGTCAAGGCAACTACTCCAATACTGCATTCCCAAGGCGCCGCGGCCAACAAAAAATAATGTTTACCTCTTTTCTCCATAATTCTCTGACAACGAATTTATTTCAATTTTTAATTCACAATCATTCAATCCATTTTAAGACAATCATGAGCAGGGACAGAGCTACGCGGTGGTAATTTAGCTTTGTTAATTTAATTTTTTAATTATACATTCATAAAATATTACTATTAACCCTCCTAAAATTATTTTTAAAAATTCATTATTACACTAACCCTCCTAAAATTTTTTTTAAAAATTCATTATTACACCGCTCACTTTATTTTCTGACACCGTCCCTGATCATGATGCAAAACAGAACACTCTTGGTCTTGGAGAGCATGGGAGGCCAGAGCAGAATTTTTTTGAATGGATTGCCACAAAGATCTTCACATCTTCAACAATAATGTCTGCATGTTGGCTTTAAATTCCTCACGGAACTGCACCCTCCTTCAATGACAACTTTAAAACTCTGCAATTTCCGTTTTTTCGAAACTCAAAATTCGCCATTTCCCCCATCTAATCATACGATAAGGCACAATGCTACCACGTAGAATGGATTCAATAATTTATTTTTTATTTTTATTTTTTTCAATAATTTCATTTGTTAATTTTTTAGCCTGCCCTTTCATATACAGTATCCAATAATTGAAATTTGAACGCATATAAGCGTTCTTAAATTTGAATCTATGTTCTTTCAAGAAACTATAACAAATATCAAGGGGTTGATTGACTTGAAATCCTATCTAATTTTTGACACATTTATTAGGATATTTCATAAAATGTACGGAATTAAACAAAAACAAGGACATTGTCGTCCCGTACAATTGTATGATAAGACACAATGCTTAGTATCAAGTGATTCAATAATTTATTTTCAAAGCAATCGGTTGGAAATTTTTTTTTTTTCAATAATTTCATTTGTTGATTTTAGCGTGCTCTTTTTTATATACACTATCCAATAATTAAAATTTGAACACATATAAATAAGCATTCTAAAATTTGCATCTATGTTCTTTCAAGAAACCATAACAAATATCAAGAGGTTGATTGATTTGAGATCCTATCTAATAGTTGATACATTAATTGGACATTAAATTTATTCAGATTTCATAAATTGTACGGAAAAAACGAAAACAAGGAAATAAAAACATCCGAAATTCAAGTGTACCAAATAAAAAGTTGAAACTCGGCCAAATGCAAGCCACCTACAAACAAAAAATAAAATATAATAAAATAAAAAATAAAATTTGAATGCGAGTCCATTTTTGAAAATGACATTATCTAATATGAGTTTAAGAATCAACCATGTCCCACAGGCCATAACTAATAAAGGCACTTATTTATTTATTTATTTTAGACACATAATAAGATGCTCGTTACCAACTATAGGGTTGTGGGTTGTGGTACGTTGATCCAAATTCCTTATTTGACCAACTTCTTACCAACCCCATTTGCAAGCGTGGGCACCACATTGGAAGATGTAAGTGGTCCCACCACGTTCACACTTCGAAACATTTCATCGCAATGTTACAATTGGTTGTATCATAACAAAATGCACTCCATCAATCCAACCGTTGAAACCAAGAATCATGACATCATTAACCGTCATCACAAGCGTCAACGACTGGTAGACTACAACAAGTCTAAGATTGCAAAATATTGGTAAAGTGGGTCCCAATGGTGGGCCCAAGAAAAGACAACCACACTATCCAACCTCACCAACCCCCAACCGGTAACCCCCAACAGGTAGGCGGGCGGTCCAAACTACTACGGAGAGCGAAATACCACCGGTTCGAACCGGCCACCTTCTCCAATATATACCCTTCACATTCCACTTCCCAAACTCAGATTCACGGTTAACCGGCGATCAAAAACTCCGGCGAAGCAGTACAGAAGAACCGTAAAAGTAGAAAGAAATGGCGACCAATGGAGAAGCCGGTAGACACCAGGAGGTTGGTCACAAGAGCCTTTTGCAGAGTGATGCTCTCTACCAGGTTACAAATTAGTCTCAGTTTCTATCTCAGATTAATTTCAGTTTCTATCTATATCATAGATGATTGATTGTTTATATATGTGTGTGTGTATTTCAGTATATACTGGAAACAAGTGTTTACCCAAAAGAGCCAGAGCCCATGAAAGAGCTTAGAGAATTGACTGCCAAGCATCCATGGTGGGTTTGATTGATTGCCGGAATGGTTAATTTTGATATATATATAGATGCACACAAACACACACGTACCCAATTACCCAAATTGCATTTTGTTTGAATTTGTAAAGATTTTGAATCTTGAATTAAACAGGAACATCATGACTACATCGGCTGATGAAGGACAGTTCTTGAACATGCTTTTGAAGCTGATCAATGCCAAGAACACCATGGAGATCGGTGTTTACACTGGTTACTCCCTCCTTGCCACTGCCCTTGCTCTTCCCGATGACGGAAAGGTATAACAATTACTCCGTCCCCCTGTTTGGGTGCAAGAAAATATTCAGCATTTTTTCTTTCTACCCAAACAAACAGAAGAACGAAAAGCAAATGATTAAAAAATTGTCGTTTGTGATGGCAGATTTTGGCAATGGACATAAACAGAGAAAACTACGAACTGGGTCTGCCCGTAATTGAAAAGGCCGGTGTTGCCCACAAAATCGAATTCAAAGAAGGCCCTGCTTTGCCTGTTCTGGATCAAATGATCGAAGATGTAAGTATCATCATCATCAAACCATCTCTTTCTCTCTCTAGAATTGATCAACCTATCTCTCTCTAAATTTGATTGGTGTGATGAATTGACTATGCAGGGAAAGTATCATGGTTCGTATGATTTCATATTCGTGGACGCGGACAAGGACAACTACCTGAACTACCACAAGAGGCTGATAGATCTGGTGAAGGTTGGGGGACTGATCGGGTACGACAACACCCTCTGGAACGGATCTGTGGTGGCACCACCTGATGCTCCGATGAGGAAGTACGTCAGGTACTACAGGGACTTCGTCTTGGAGCTCAATAAAGCCCTGGCCGCTGATCCCAGGATCGAGATCTGTATGCTTCCGGTCGGCGATGGGATTACCCTGTGCCGCCGCATCAGCTGATCAGTCAACCCAATATCATGAAAATGTTGACTGGCTATCGGAAAAAAACCAGCTTCTTTTTTTTTATTTCTTGTTTATTTGTGACTTATATTTGTATTTCATAAAAAGCGATTTGTCAAAGTATGTGGGATAATGTGCAATGAAATTATGAATGACTTTTTAATTAAAAAATAAAAGAAAAGAACTCTGTATATGTGTGGTACTGTTCTGTTATAAAGCCAACACGTGATTTTGGTGTATTAAAGTGTTGTCTTGCGCTACCCAATATATATATTTCCATTTTTGACCATTTATAAAGGATTTAGGGTTAATTGCAATGATACCCCTTAAAATTTATCATAATGACAACCATATATAAGTTGGGCTTTTTTTTAACAATAACAACCCCTCAAGTTTAATAAAGTTAACAAAGACACCCCAACTATCACCTGCCACCTCTGCCACTTAAAGAATTTACATTGTTGTCCTTTTGAATTATCAATTAACTCATTTAAATAATAAAATTACCCTTCTAGCTTTGTATAATAAAAAAATAAAAACAAAACCCAAAAATTTCCCTTCTCCTCCATACCATCCATTACCACCACCTCTATCACCACTACCATCACAACCACTTCACTATTCAAAATCCAAATCTTCAACACACACACACACACACATATCATCAGTTTCAAACACCATATCTTCAATATATATATATATATATATATAAAGTCCTAGACTTTGACGATGGCCGAGGCAGAGGTGGAGGTGGCGTCAACACCATCACAACCTTCACCCTAAGCACGAGAATGATCCAAATTAAGAAGAATGTGGCCATCATAGGGATGGGCCTCTCGTCTCCCTCTTTGGCAACGACGACCCAATTTGATGCGTCCAAATTCCCACCCGATTCAGTGGCCAGATTCGAGGGTTCAACAACGCGGATTTTTGGTGGTGGCGGCAGCGACGGCCAGATCTGAGGGTTCAACGACGCGGATTTTTGGTGGTGGCGGCGGCGGCGAACCAAATCTGAGGGTGTGGTGGCGGCCAAATCTGAGGGTTCAACAACGCGTATTTTTGGTGGTGGCGGCGGCCAGACTTGAGAGTTCAACAACGACGAATTTTTTGGTGGTGGCGACGGCGGGATCCAAGGGTTCAACAACGACGAATTTTTTGGTGGTGGCAGCGGCAACAACGGTGGTGTGGGATTTAGGGGTGGAGAGGTCTAGGTATTTGGTGGTGGGTTTAATGGAGGGAGCATGGGTTGGGTTTGTTAGGGTTAGGGTTTGAGAGATTATGGTTAGAGAAGGTGAGAGGTTAGAGGTGGTGACATATACTGATAATGTACCAAGGGCAAAAACGTCATTTAGGAGTTTTGATTATTTTTTAATTTAAATTAATAAAATATTGAAGGGCAATCTTGACTTTTCACACCTCTTAAGGGCCTGTTTGGATACAATTTCTGACAAGGGGTATCATTGTTAAAAAAAAGCCCAACTTATATATGACTGTTATTATGACAAACCTCAAGGGGTGTCATTGTAATTAACCCAAGGATTTAATTAATGCACTCCTGTCTCTCTAATATCCAGTTAAAATAGACTTAATGCATGTTGAAGACAGTGGATATTAGGTAAACAACACCCATTAATGATATTAAAATAGACTTAATGCATGCTGCCCTTTAATGTAAAGACAGCAGATATTAGGTAAACAACACCCATTAAATTTGGTGGTATGTCATCCAAAATGTACATGGTCTTAAAAAATAATAATAATAATAATAGAAATAAAACATTGTGTATGTAAAAAAAAATTCTTCTTAGAGTTAGCCCGATTCAAAAAAGAAACTTCAGGGATTTACGAATTTACCTCTACTAGAAAAAGAAATTTCTGGGATTTACGGATTTACCTCTACTGAAGCCGCTGTGCCCTAGAGCATGTGTATTTTACGGATTTACCTCTACTGACGCCGCTATGCCCTAGAGCATGTGTATGTAAATTTACTGATCCAAATTATTGAAACTTTTATATCCCTTTAGGGGTAAGTAATATTCCGCTATGCCCTAGAGCATGTGTATGTAAATTTACTGATCCAAATTATCGAAACTTTTATATCCCTTTAGGGGTAAGTAATATTACCTCCGTCCCTTTATATTTGTCTACATCGTAAACTGTGACGTAAGTATGAGTTTACTTGGTCAGCCTGAGCATTGGTCCAAATGCTCTAAAAATAAGCCTATAGGAAAAGAAAGAAACAAATAATTGAAAATCCTATAAAAACAAATGGTGTGAGCTTTGAGGTAGTTCCTGTTAGAAGGGAACATAGAGATGCAGAAAAATAAATATGTTTGATAAGTCGATGCATTTAGAATATATTTGACTGTTTTTAACACTTTTAAAGGCAATAACATTATGCAAACAAGAGCCAGTGGGCTCCATTCATGCTTACTATTAATCATACAGGAGCCCTATAGTTTCTCCAAAATTATTTCCTGCCATACAGTTTCTCCAAAATTATTTCCTTTTGGTCTCAGAGTAACCCTCTATTGAATGTGTGGGCAGTTTCAGGATCCTTGTAGTAGGTGTAAGGCAATGCCGGGGAGCCATTCTGTATCCCCCTTATGTACAGAGAGAGATCCGATCCGCTCTCGCCCTCGCCATTACAGAGTATCCTCAGCTATCCAAGATAACAAACTATTACCATTAGCAACCTCAGCCATCTGAGCTCTCACCATTACGGGAGTAAACTCAACTATCCAAGATAACAATCTATTACCATTAGATAGTGATAGGGGAAAAAAAACCCTAAGCTGACCAGACGCCTAAAATTTGGTCTTCAACTTACCCGGGATAAGATAAGGGTGTTCAGTTAACAGTGATAGAGGAGTTCAGTTAACAGTGATAGAGGAGATCAATTGAGTATGATAAATCAAATCTCAACTTGCTCAACTGAGAGAGCGAGAGTGAACCTGATAATTCAAAATGATTGTGTGCTAGTTTGTTCTTGGATAAATTAAACATCTCTATTTTCTACTAACACAATGGTCAAAGCTTCAACCAAGCCTAGAGCTTGCATTCCTGGTTAACCTGTTAATGTTGGTGACTAAACTTACAAGGTAAAATACAAATTTACTTGACTTGCTTATTTTTCACCATTACATTTTTCAGCGACCAGTTTGAACTAAAATCTGTCCATTTTATCAAAAATCCCTCCCCCCCCTTCCCCCCCCCCCCCCAAAAAAAAAAAAAAAAAAAAAAAAAGCAACACTTCATCACAGCATGCATAAATAAATAAAAAAGACATCTTATGTGCAGCAGCACACTCCTAAAAATGAACCATACATATCCATCAATAAAAAGAAGAAAGCAAGCAAAAACAACTATATGAAAGCATATGAAATTACAAAAGATTGCACACAAATATATAAGGTTTCAAAATGTTCTCAACGTATGGCAACTTGAGAAGTAATACTAAATAATTATTCCACCATCATCCTGCTAAGGTGGCATTGCATATCAAACAATAATACACAGCCATTTTAGACTAATACTACTAAATCTGTCAAAGGCCAAAACTAACAGAATTGGCCATCCAATCTCCAAAATCTCTTCAAATGCCAAATTCCAATAACCCCATCAATCTTGCGGACTCCAACAGGAAAGAAAAACTAAAATGGAATGTCAAAATTGTTCGGAATAGTAAACCAGGAATATCACATGAAACAGTGACTTGCCAAGAGGCAAGAGCCCTAATAGTAAGTTCCATAAATCTGTAACCTCAGTCATGAATCACATAGCTTGAAACTCTAGACACAGATGCCTTGCATGCACATAAAAAACTAACACACGAGCACAATACTAAATTGAATGCGGCCACGCATACATGCACATTTTTTTTTGGATTCTTTGGTAGATGGAACATGTGCACGCTCATGCACACAAATATACAATCTTTATTTTCAATGGATTAAGATAGTGCAACATTGCATTATGAATTGGTCCATAAGAGCAGAAGGCTCAGAAAGACATCTAATTTTAATAATACTTGTGAGGTAACGAAAATGTAGTCAACCCTCCCTCTTTAAGAGTCATATGTCATGTAAGAGTTTAAACAATTTGGTCAACTTTTGTGACACATTCCTAAAATATAGTGTGTGGTCAATCCATTTTGGAGGGTTGTACAGAATACATTTTTGCCTTATACATTTTTGTAAAAAATACTAGATAGAAAATATAAAAGCATTTATAAAGCAACCAATTTTACTCAAAGAAAAATATTTCAACATAACAGTGAATATTAATGTCAAAACTGATCATAGAAAATAATAATTCAAGCTTAAATGCCTAGTATGAAAAATATGTTTACAAATATCACTTACGAAAGTACTAAAATCTAGAAATTGTAACTAAGGAGGTGGAAGTGGGCTATAAATCTGATGGATCACCCTACGTAAAACAAGCTAAGCAATTAAGCCTTCCAAAATCAACAAGCTAGGTAATTGAGCCTTCCAACACCCAAAGATTTGGTAAATGTAATGTGCAAGTTAATTGTTATACTCTTTGTACACAGACTCTAGAGAGACTTAACAGGTAGGAATTTTAAAGAAGAGACGCAGGTTGTGTTGAAAAGAGAAGGTAACATGCCAAGACCGTCTGTTGGGGAGAAATCGATTATATGGAGGTAAATTGGAGATTAGAATTTGTTTTTAAAACATTAACCACTAGCAGTGTTATGAGCTTAAAATTTTGGCCAATTTTAAGTAGTGCTTAATTTTTTAAGTGATAATATAAATTGTTACCAAACAAACATTTTTTAAAAAAAATCACTGCAATTGTAACCGAAAGTACTGAAATAAATGCATTTTGAAACCACTTAAAATATTAATCACCACTTAAAAGAAGAGGGGTGTCAATGGTAAGTGGTTAAGGTTTTTATTTTTTATTTGAAAAAACCCATTTACCGCTCTTCGTCTAGCTTTTCTACATGTGAAGTCTTTCTAGACTCATCTAGAAGAATGATAAAAATCAACTTGACTAGTGACTCAAAATATAATTGCATAGCATAAGTTTCATGTACAATCCCTTCAAATATTGACTCAAATATACTCGCCTAGCTTGGGATTCATAAGCAATCCCTTCAAATATTATAGTCTATCATTCTAGAATTACAATTTCTAATATTTTCTCCTTTTTAAAAATTTGTATACAAAATAGATCTTATTACTACCTAAATAATATTTGTACACATAATTTTCATATGAAACATTCAATTTTAAAATTATATTAAAGAGTAATGCTTAAACAATGTTCATTGTCTAAGTTTGAATTAATATTTTCTATGTTCAAATTTGACATTAATATATATAATTAAATTGATATATTTGTTTGAGTGAAATTAGTTGATTTGTAAATATTTTATATTGTATAAATAGTATCTTCTATAAAAATGTTACTGAGTAAAAAAAGTTATCGAGGGATCTGCACAACTTTCAAATTCCAGCATTTGTATTCAGAAATGAATTCATAGCTTAAAATTAGTGTTATCAAACAGGTTTTCAAACTAATACATTCAACACTTAAAATTCTAACTTAATTTTTAGTTTTATCAAACAACATCTAGTAAACCAAAATTAACTGCACGGTTCTTACAATTATCCCACAATCTCTTTAGTAAGAAGGAAAATAATATATATATATATATATATACACACACACAGATATATGTATATATATAACAACTTAGTGGTTTAAAATGATGAAAAAACATTCAGGACATTTCAATTAAGCTAAATACAAGCATACAAACAATGCACAATATACACAGGAGACATCAGAGACGAACAAGATCAGAACCTGAACACAATTTAAAGATAAATCCATACGAAAATTCCATATTCAAATTTGAACTTCTAAATTCAAAAACTTTAATGACTCAATAACACATTAAAATCAAAACAGCTAAATACGCGAAACAGAAATCTTATGGTCTTTGATAATAAAAACAAGTAAACATAACCCAAAACATGGATAGTTTAGAAGCATAAGCATACGAGCAGTACCACACTCAACGGTACGACTTCTGGAACCTAGCACGAGCACCGCGACCGCCGAACTTCTTGGGCTCGCAGCGCCTGGGGTCGGCGACGAGGAGGGTCCGATCGTACCTGACGAGGATGTCCTTGATCTCCTTCTTGGACTGCTCGTCGACGTACTTCTGGTAGAAGGCAACGAGGGCTTTGGCGATGCTCTGACGGATGGCGTAGATCTGGGACGTGTGACCACCGCCCTTCACTCGGATGCGCATGTCGACGCCGGCGAAGCGGTGGCGGCCGAGTAGGAGGATGGGCTCGTAGGCCTTGTATCGGAGGATCTCCGGCTCCACGAGCTCAATTGGGCAACCGTTGATCTTGATCAGCCCACGCCCTTTCTTGCAGTAGGTCACGGCCACCGCGGTCTTCTTGCGGCCGAAACACTGGACCGATTCGATCGTAGTAGGAGCAGAAGCAGCCATGTTTGGTTGTTTTGGTGGTGTGGTGACTCTCGACTGGTAAAACCCTAACCCTAGAAAGCTGGTTTGAAATGAAAATGCATAGAAGAGGCGAAAAAAGGAGAGGGCAAAAAAAGTATATATAGTGGTGTTGAATTAGGGTTTTTGGAGATCCGTGAAAATATCCCTGCTATTAGTTGTAACTACGATCATGGCATATTGCTGGATTCGTGGGTCAAATGGCCCAAAACAAGTCCATCATCTCCTGGGCCTCTGGTCATTCGGCTAAACTGATGGAAGGACCCTTTTTGATAGAAAAATATATGTTTTTTTATTTTTTATTATTATTTTTTTTTAAACTCAAGTATTGTCTCTTCTTTCTTTTTAAACCAACAGTCGAGAATGTTAAACTCATGTTGGGCCCCTATTTTTTTCATGTTGGGCCACGGCCTTTGTTCTCCGGTCCATCTTACATCCATTCAAGGACTTTCTGAAATTTATTAAACTACCCTTACTTTACTTTTCTTATATCTACACTAATAGGATATATATCAAAATCAGCACAGCACTGTTGCGTGTTTTTTATGAAGTTTGATGCTTATACTACTTATAGGAGATATCAAAATCAGCACTGTTGCGTGTTTTTTTTAATGAAGTTTGATGCTTACCTTGACAATGATAGCATGCTCTGTTTTTTCAGTTGATAGCTCGTGTTGTATATATGAGCAGATGCATAATATGTGCTATCATAAATATGTTGAATCTGTTTTGGGATTTGAAGGCTATGTTTTCTCTTGTGTAAATAGATGATCATGTATGGTGAGAAAGATAACTACAATTTTTGCTAATGCATTTTTTGGCATATCCCACATGATGAAACTCAATTATAGAAGCATCTTCATGCAATATTTAAGTGCATTGAAGTTTTACTTTATTTAATTACGAGTTTTACATTCTTAAGTACGAGTTTTACATTCTTAAGTACGAGTTTTACATTATTGCAGTTACCGTTTTATTTTACTTAAGCACAAGTTTATATTATTCAGTAAAGATTTTACATTATTCAGTAAATGTTTTACATCAGTGCAATGAATGTTTTACATAAGTTTAATGAATCTCTTTTTACAACTCCTCCTCCTTCTCCCTGTTGTACTCTTTTGCAAGAGTAGGTAGTGGCAACAAAGGTCCAAGAGACGAGCGTTTGAAGTTGATCTTGGAGAGAGTGATAAAATAAGAGACCCAAAGAGAAAATTCTTATCTAAAATAGGATTTTGTCTTAAGATTCAGAAAGAGAAAATATAGAAAGAGAGATGAGAATTCGAAATGGGCCTTGTCTAAAATGAGTCTCTCAGCACAAAAGTGTGCCTTAGGTTTGCAAATGGTGAGAAAGAGGAGTAAATTTCAGATTGGAAATGGTTAGAGAGATGAGATGGAAAGAGAAGTAAGGGTAGTTCAGTAAATTTCATAAAATGCTTAAAGGTAATTTGGTCTCCATGTATTCATGAAGAGTAAAAATCAACAGATTTATAATTACTTTTGCTTAGAGTATTTTTTTATGAGTTTATTTTTGAATGTTTACACTCTAATAAATAAGACTTCCTAAAGTATTTTTTTAATTAAATTACCCCACTAAAAATTGTCATAATCCTCAACCATAGTAGAATTGTGTATCATTTTATTCTTTAGAACAAAGGGATGCAATGTTTACAATACAAACCACACGTAGGAAACCAGAGATTTGGAAATGCACTTTGAATTATTATATTCAGAAGAAACTGGTGTATGACCGTGACAAATCACGTTGAAGAATTAAATACATTCAGATGTGTTAGGTTTCTTTCGGAAACACGGGAGAGAGAGAGAGAGAGAGAGGAAAAAAAAAAAAAAAGGATTATGAGATAAAAGAAAAGAAAAGAAAGGATAGATATAATAATATTCATATTTGGATGGGTAGCAGATAAAAGAAAGGAATAGGCAATATTTTTGTTTGGATGGATAGAAAAGAAAATAAATGAATGAATAATTTATCATTTTACCCTTTTGTGGTGTCAGAGTCAGTAGGGCAAATCATTTCAGCCTCCATCTCTATTCTCGTTCCCCCCCCCCCCCCCCCCCCCCCGCCGCTGCCGCAGCAACCTGCAAACTATATATATATATATATATCTTATATTTTAAGGAGATGTATTCCCTTCTCTCTCTCTCTCTATATATATATATAATATTCTATTTTTCAAAACCCATATACAAGAATCAGAAGTTCAAAATAAGAATTAGAAGTTCAAAAGCCATATGTATTCCCCCCCTCTCTGCAACTGCAAACTACAAATTCTACAAGAATCAGAAGTTCAAAACCCATATTTCAAATCATATGGGTAGAGAGAGATGGCAATTGAGAAGAGTGGCAGTAACTCTGCTTCTTCTTCCTCCTCGTGCTTCTCCCATTTTTGGTCCTCTGCTCTCCGATCCAAGCCCCTTCATAATACTCCTTTCTCAGAAGCCGCCATTCGTACAGTTTCCGATAAAGGTCTCATACGCTGTCTCGGCCTCTTCCCATTGTTCCAGCTCGGTCGCCGTCTCAAGCTTGCCCCTTCTCTCAAGATTGCTTTTGTAATTTGTTCCATTTCTCTCCAAATCTTGTCAATTTTGGAGGGATTCCAAATGTCCCTCCCAATTCTTTCTTTTCTCTTCCATTTCTCCCATCTAAACACACTAATTACTATCATTCCCTTTCCTTTCTCTCCAAATCCCTCTAAATCCCTCAATCCAAACGAAGGCCTCACATTAAATGGAAAAATATCAAATGGGACCAAATTCCTAAATGCTGACCTAGAAAGTTAAAAAGGTAATTAATTTAGTTCAAAAAAATTTAATTATTAACAAGCAATCATGAATTGGAAATACAGACACCAATCGATGACCAAGATTTCATTTGAGATAGTGTATAATATTGTTGGCTACGTAAAATTATTACTTTGACACATAGTGGATTATCATTAAACAAGAATTCAAACTTTTATTTTGTCTTGATACATGACAAATATGGAATATTTAAGAAAAAAAACACGACTTACTATTGGTGAATAATACTACATGATAAAAGCTCGGGTATTGTAGACTTTTTCTGCATCATTATAGTAAAGATGGAGAAATAGACAAAAAAAAAACGAAAAAAAAGGGGGTAAAGTACACAAACACCCCATGAGGTTTGACATAAGGACAGGTAGATACAAATTGGCCTATTTTTGGACAATCATACCCCTTGGTCAGAAATTTGATCCAAACAGCCCCTTAAATTTGGCAAAAGTCAAGATTGCCCTTTAATGCTTTATTAATTTAAATTATAAAATATCAAAACTTTTAAATGACTCTTTTACCCTTAAACACTTATTACACCTATACATATATTTATATGTATATTGTAAACATATCAAACCCAGACCCAAAACTTCGGCCATGACACCACCTCTACACCTTCCAACCACCGGCCGACGAGCGATTCACCATCTCCTTCGTTCATATGTCGATTACTCCTTTCACCGACACTTCCATTGTAATACCCTTAATTTTAAAAGAATAGTCTCGGCATTTTATTTATTTTATTTATTGTTTTTGGGTGATTATTTGGTTTAATTATTTTTTATTTATTAATTTGATTTAATTGTTTAACTATGTGACATGTGTTTAAATTGAATTAAGTAAGTTATCTTTTATTATTTAATTAGAATTTATTGTGTAAGTGTTTTTAATTGTTTAATTGGAATTAATTGGTTAAGTGTATTTAGTTATTTAATTGAATTTTAATTTAATTATGGTTTAAGTTACAGTAAGCTTTAGGTTGCAATTCACGTATAGGTAAGCAGCACTATGGTAACAGAGATAGTTTCATGGGCCGACTAGGATTAGAATTAGGGCTCTGTCTCTAATTAAACAAGGATTAGGGTTTAGGATTTTTACGCCTATATATACATAGTTATAATCTGTATTAAGGGTTGGAAAAACCTTACTCACGTAACAGAGATACAGAGAGTTACAGAGTGAGGCTTTGAGAGAGAGCAGAGCAAGTTTGTGAGGTTTCCAACCGAGGCTTCGAGATTAGGCTTAGGAGAAGGGAGGAACAGAAGTCATAGGAGGCTAGACTATATTGTAGTGGTCGTCGGAAAGCTTAGAACAACGGCGATAAGGTTTTGTTTACAAAACTGTGCAGGCAAATTCTTATCTTCCTCCTTCCCTCTGGCTTGTGTTCTGTGCACCTAGATAACCTCTAAGGGATTAATTGGCCATTAATTGAACCATGCATGATTTGTATTTGTTTACTTGAAGGTCTTTTAACTGTAAAAGTTTATCTGTAAAACCATTCTATCATTTATGTGTTCTAGTCTTTGTTTTGGCATAACGTCCCACTGTTCTAATTTTTTAATTTGAATCTTACTGAAATCAACCAAGGCCTGAATGGATCCTAGATGTAATTTAAGACCTTCAAATTTAAATTAGAGGAAGAACAAAGGGGTTGGAATAGAACTGATGTTGCAAATTAGTTTCAGTGTTGTTCATCAACAATGCTAGTTTAAATGGCTTTGTTTAAACTCAGTAATTGATTTCAAGTTTATTGTAAGCAACCTTGGGGATGCTTCTAGACTCAATTAAGACTCCTAAGATTAGTTTTAGAAACCAACAGAGTGGTAGGAATTGATCAGAGAGGGAGCAGACGGACTGAAACGAAGCAACGGGGACAGAGGCTCTCAAATGAGGTGAGAGCCGGCTCCATGGATGTGGGAGCTGGCTCCCACAACAAGTAGAGCCGGCTCCAAGGACTCCTAAAGCCACCTTTAGGCTGAAAGAGCCTGCTCCCAAAATTTGGAGCAGGCTCCCTCTTCAATTTACGGTTAATTAATTTTTTTTTAGTTTTCTAAGGCACTGTTTGGTATTCTAGGCACTGTTTGAGCCTTTGGATGTTTCTAATGGATTGTGGGGACTTTACAGAAGATCTAAATACTTGATTCTAAGTGTGATTAAACTTGTTGTTGCATGGTTTAAGTCTCTAAGATAAAAGATAAAACAGTATAAAAGCATATAACTTAGTACACTATTATCGGATGGGACGAAATAAATTGTTTAGATTAATTTAGC